TAAAGCCCCTCTTGCTGCTTTGAGATCAATGGAACTAATAATACCTAGAAATCCAGAAAGCAACAAGTAGTGGAATTCTGAATTAGCAGGAGCAAACTGCAAGGCTGGGTTAGGTCAGCAGTCCAGTTCTGAACACAGAGAAGTCCTTCTTTTAAGAATAGCCTTACCTTAGCAGAAGTTTCAAACCATCCAGCAAAGCCTCCCTCTTTGCAGAACTGATTCATCTGAGAAGGAGAAGGATTTTGACTACTATCTTTCTTCTGGTCACATTTATTGGCAAGTAGAATGGTTGGGATTGGGCTGCCATTGGGGAGCATTACTTTACTGTCCAAGTCATGTTTCCACTTGGAAACTGCCTCAAATGTTGATCCTCTGGTGACATCGAAAACTACAAAAGCTCCCACAGCTTCTTTATAGTATACTCTGGTCATATTTCCAAAGCGTTCTTGACCTGAAAGATAAGTGGGCAAGTATTATAAAATACAGTATTAAATATTGCTCCCTTAAAGAGGCTGAGGGGGAATACTTGAAATTGGGCAGAACATTGGAAATAAATTGTAATAATCAAAATAGTTGGGAGAAGTGGAAGATACTTAATCGGAGTTTTCCTAAATAACTATAGTGAAGTACGGCAAAACAAAGGTTAAATATAAACACTATAAATTAAGAGTGAATAGTAGGTAAAATATTTAATGTTTATCAGTTCAAAATATGAGATTTTATTCACATTTAAGGACTGAGAAAGGAATAGAATATAATTTATTCTGTCTAAACCTGAGTACGTAGTCCTAGACATACGATGTACACAGTTATGCAAAGGTAGAGAAATACACAGAAAAAACATCGATATACTCAAGGAACCAGCAGTCCTAGAGATCTACGGGTGAAAAGAAATCAATTTTTATAGGAGACATTGCCAGAGCCAGGAGCAGAAGTTAAATAAGACATCAGTTTAGAATTGTTACATAGCCACAAAAGAACAAAGTCCAGCCCCCTTTCAATGCAATTAATGCTTATCTAGTTCTGTCCAGATGCTAGCAGTCTGAGCAGATGCCTGTGCATAGACTGTAGTAATAAACCAATGAAATAGAACTTTCATGTGTGAATCTGGTTTTTCATGCCTGACATTTGAGAACTAAGTGGAATTTAGAAAGCCCTTTGACAGGCCTAAAATTGGTTCCATTTAAAATCTGCCTTCAACTTAACAATAACGTAACTGTTTATGGAAAAATCAGTTGTGCATAAATTCAGACAAATATAATCATTCATGACAGAAAATTCATAGTTACATATACTTTTAATTATGTAGTCATGATCTTCATGCAATAGTTCATAAAAAAGAATTGGAGTGCTTGAGTTAACAGCCAGATATTAACTAAAATGGCTGAACGCAGTAAATGACCAGAGAAATGAATAAATATGCTGAAGTGCTGAAGATCAGATACTTGTCTGATACTTGTCCACATTTTAGAAATCAATGGTATCTTCCCCAAACAACAGATAAAATCCATTATTTGACGAATAAGTCTGGACACTGTTTCCCTCAAAAACAGGTCTTTACTATTCTATATTCTCTCTTTTTCTTTAAAATCCATTGAACTAGGAGAACGAAAACCCAGGTCTTTCCCTGACTTAGATGTAATATATTCTGGGTCAACACTATCAATCTTTGTAGTTTTGGGGAATTATTATAATTATTATGATCAATTAAGTATATTTTTCCACAAATGAATGTTTTGGGGAGCTGAAAAAAGCCATTTGTCATTTAATGGACATTTGATTTTTAACAGACAACCTTCTCCCTATTTGTCTGTTTTACCGAGCATTGCAATACTATAATATATAGGTCCAGCAACTGTGAAGCAAACTCAGTGAATTTTCAATATTTCAATGCCTAAACAACCACAGTAGAAACCTATGCAAGGCTGAGAAAGCACTCATGGACTATAATTAAGAGACTATTTAGGCAAAAGGCAAATCTAGATTTGTAAATAGCCTCCAAGCAACTAACTCTTAACCCAGCGGTCCCCAACCACAGGTCCGTGGACTGGTACCGAGCCGCGGCATGCCAGCAACTGATTGGCACAAACTAGCAAAGCCCCATCTGTGAGATGCAGGCAGCATACAAAACCATGCTCCCTCCAGTCTGCGGAAAAACCGCTCTCCACAGAACCGGTCCCTGGTGCCCAAAAGGTTGGGGACCTCTGTCTTAACCCTAATTCAGTCAAGGTGAAGTACAGATATAAGTAGTTTCTGCCAACTTATTCCTTCCTGAATAAATACTGGAACATGCTCTTTGTCCTGTTGAAAAAAATTAATTACAGAAACAAACCCCAAAGAACCCACAGCTTAATCCTCTATTGAATGATTAAATTGCCACCAGATGACATAAGAATCTTAAAAGATTTTTTTTTAAAAAAAGCTAAGTGACGCTATAGCAATCAGTCAGTACATACAACTGGATGGCTTAATGAAAGTTTATAAACTATAGTACATATGTTGTATGAATTTATTTAATGACCCTCATAATAGATACTTACTCACATACTTACTTGCCTTTCCTGAAAATACGACCAATTCTAAATTTTTGGCATGAGGCCCTAGCTTGTGTAAATAATTTAATAGCTAGTTTCACCAGCTATCCCTGTGGCAGTATCTTCTATGCATGAACACAGATGGCTGAAAAGTCCTGAAGCATATACGCTCAACCTTCGAACAGTTTCTTTGCTCTATACCAGGGATAGGCAACCTTGGCTCTTTTATGACTCGTGGACTTCAACTCCCAAAATTCCTGAGCCAACATGGCTCAGCTTGGAAACTCTCCCTTTCCCCTCAGCATGGCTGGCTCAGGAATTCTGGGAGTTGAAGTCCACGAGTCATAAAAGAGCCAAGGTTGCCTACCCCTGCTCTATACATATATTACCACTGATATATGAACACTGTTAATTTTGCCTCTTGCACATCTATGCACTGGTATCAATATCAAATTTTGTGTGGCTTCACATCTCCTTTCTACATACACAGGATTTATGTTTGCAGCATCAATAGCAGTAAGTATACATGATCTTTAAAAACACACAAGCATGCTCCTGAAACACTGAAAATGAACTTTCATTTTGTTTTTTTGAACCTAATTAATGAAATAGTAGTATTTCTTTATCACTTGCTCCAGCTGAACAAGTCTGAAAATAGTAGTTTTGTAAGCCTGGAAAAGAACAGGCCAGCTTTAACAATTCCAAAAGGAATGCTTTGTACACATTTCTTGTCTGTTCAAAAGCATATTTTTCAAATGATTTGCAGAACTCTTAATAGCTAATTCCTAAAAGCATAGTTACAACTCTACATTTACAAAGTCTAGGCGATTCTAATGTCATTTCTTCCCATTATATTCCTTTTCTCTATCTGCTTTTTCAAAATTTACCTTGGTAAAGACTGCAAACTGAAGTTAACATCTCTACATAATAATGTGGAGATTTTACAACCCATGGTGAAAAAGTACTCTCGTTATTCTATTTCATCATAAAGTAGGATTTCCATAAAATATCTGGTGTGATAGGTTTAAAAATGTAAGTCTCAAAGTGACAGGTCTGCCACAGCACTTTTTCTTTTTGCTTAATGAAATGTAAAGAGACATTAAAGTTCTTAAGCAACAGGCAAAGAACAGCTAGAACGGTTAGAGGAATGACCCAATTTATACCAGAGGCAGTTGTAACCTCTAGTGTGTGCTTCCTCCTAGTTCCTTTAAAGAGATTGAACAACTTTTTACCCCATTCCGAAAGCTATTTGAATGCCTGTCTGTAACAGGAAACAAAACGGGTAAAACAAAAAACCCTAATTTTCTGCATCAGAAAATTTGGCAAACTCAATTGTTTGCCAAAGCAGTTTACACAAACTTCTGCATTCAGTCCATCAGGAAATTGCACAATTATGAGGAAAAACCATATTTTGAGATGCCTCTGTATCAGTGCAACATGTAAAATTTCAAGGCATTGAGTTATCAGAATAGTTTTTAGAAAACACACAGCGCCATTATTATAATTCCTAGATTTAACTATGTTTGCTTGTAAATTATCCTAGGATTCTCTGGAATTCTGGTTTATACTTGCAGCAGCTGCATAATGCTAAAAATGGTTTTAATAAATCTTGCAGATTTGCATTTGCATACTCACGACACATTTGCCTTCAAAAATGTTTAGAAGTGAATCAAAACAATGAAGAAATTCTATATGCCACATCCTAGTCTTCAAAATATTTATATTTATATTGTATCACCAGTGTAATTCAAAAGCATTATTTTTAAATTTTGGGATTGCAGCTTCTCAGGTATTGGCTTTTGCTGTTTAATTCCTTTCCAAGAACTGAATTATTTTCTAAAAAAGAAAGAACAGCAATTGAGGAAAGAAGTAGCCTTTTGTTGATATTGTGCTTATTTTCTCCCAAAAAGTTAACAGTAATGTACACAATTCCTTCCATTCCATTTTATATTCACGTCTCTTACAGCAATAGCTTAAATGACCAGACAGCCATTATAACCAAGTGGGGGATTGCACCTAGTGTCTTCAAGCCTGTGTTTGTGTGCCTTCCAGTCAGTGTTAACTCTGAATGAATGCCTGGACAGTGCAGTTTTCTTAAGAAAATTTCAGAAGTGGTTTTCACTGACTCCTTCCAGAGTGACTGGCCCAGCTGGCTTTGTGTCTAAGGAGGAACTAGAACTCACAATGTCTCAGTTTCTAATCTGGTTCCTTAACCACAACACCAACTGGCTTTTAGCTCAAGCCTATATTTGTTATTATTGCTGAATATTTGTGTGAGAAATCTTATTTTGAGATCCAAGTGATCTTTCTATTTGCCCAGGCTTTGAGTTCCATTGTAGAGAGTGCTCAGACTTTATATTAAGTTATTTTATTTTGTGTGAGTCTGTTTTTTTTACATTGCACTATTGATTATATTCTTTTTCCTTATTGTATATATGATCATCAAATCTCACAATTTCTTTACAGACCTGAAAACAAGAAACATGCTTTGTCGTACAACTGAGAAAATAATGACAAATGAACAGATAAAAACACTGCATATCAAGAACTCATTTCTATGGCTTCAATTTTTCAGTAACCACCAAATGTATAATCATCTGAAGCGGAAGAAGCAGAAAAATTCTACTGAACAGCTAGTAACGTACACTGATGCATTTGCAAAGCTGATTGTATGATGGTAAAAAAAAAAAAAGGCAGGATTTTTGTAGAACAGAATTTGTTGCCAGATGTACTGCATTAAAATTCCTGCAGTCACGAGTTAAGATAAACTTTAGAAGTCAAGATGGACAAGGCTGTTATAAAACAACACAACTTGGGAGACTAGTCTCCCTATCTGTTCTGTTAAAGGTTCAAACTTACTTTTAAATCACATACACTGCATACAGAAAAGCCCTTCCACAGGATAAAGATTTATTACAGGCTTTTATTATTTATTTATAGTTTCTATAGTTCATTTTTCCACATATATAATTCACTTTTGAAAATTCCTCTCATGCATTGAAAATTTTTTCTTTATTTTAAAGGACTCAAATTTGTAGTACATTTATAAAGATAAAGGGTTTTTTTATTAAAAGTCTTGTTTCCTTAGAAGCAATCTGAAAATGTGCTAAAATTAAGACTAGAGGATTTCCATTCATAAGGGTTTCTCCTCATGTGATAATGGAACGAGCAGTCACTTCCGTATTTTACCGTGTCCTTCCACAACATAAAACTAAAGCAACAAGTCGCAGGAACTCCTTAATGCATCAAGTACTTCTTAGCCATGTATTATTACTGAGGCCTTCAATAGTACTCAGCCCCCATTGGGATAGCAGCTCAAATACAATCTGCTTTTGTGGAATTCATTAATGTAAGTTAAGCAGGCAAATTATTTGGATCAAGATCAAAAAAGTTGCTTTAGACATAATTGTGCACTGGCACACCTCCAGAAATAGCTTCTCTCAACAGCTGACTCTCAAGTCGTATCAAAGCTCCAGGTGCATAGAGCCCAACATGATCTGAACCATGATTCCACTCTAGAAAGACATTCACTGAATCTTTCTGGGTGAAGCAGGGGAAAAAAGCTGAAGTTCTTTAGCAAGAGATTGATTAAAAGGTGATGTTGAACACCACTATCAATCTCCTTCCCAAATAATTTTTTCAACAAACCAAGATGTACTAATTTTCAATCCACTGTAAATTTGGGAGGCAAGAGACTGGTTATATCTATTAAAAATAGTAAAATGGGGAAAATGTAGGTCTTTGTTAACAGAGGAAAAGGAAAAAAAAAGACCCTATTTGCATAAGAATTAGTGTATGTCCTTAATTTCAGTACTTTTCCATTTGATGGGGTAGTTGTATTCTTGGAACTGCAGTGTGAAATCAATCTTCTCCAAACAGTATCTTTCAAACTCTATAATCCCCAGTTAGGATGGTCACTGAGTTTACTGGCTGGGGATTACGAGAATTAGAAATCTAACAGATTTAGAAAACACTAGGTTGGGGAAGGCTGACATTTTTCTATAAAGGTAGGGATCTCTCTACTGCCCTCATCTTTAACTTCTATCTGGGACTGTGTTTCTCAACCTTGACAATTTTAAGGCATGTGGACTTCAACTCCCAGAATTCCACAGCCAGCATTGCTGGCTGTGGAATTCTGGGAGTTGAAGTCCACATGCTTTAAAATTGTCAAGGTTGAGAAACACTGATCTAGGAGTTTATTTAAACATTTTTTTTTTTTTTTTGCAAATATGACTTTCCTCTTTCCTCTTTCTATTTAAATGTTATACCAACATTTTTTCTCTAGCAGCTTTAAAATGGAAGATACTGGGTTTGATCACATTAGCATTGTTTGGCAGTGCTTTCCACAATCATCTAAAAATAAAGCCAGAATCTGGCAGAATCTGTACATTATACAAACCATAATATAGTTTTCCCAAAGGTGTTTTTACAAAGGCAACTAGACTTTCTTGGGTTTTGCTTTTTTAAAATCATTTTGTTTCTCATCCAAGAAGTTTCTTCAGTTTAACTTGAATGAGAAGCGAAACGCTTTTTTTAAAAAAAACCAAAACCCAAGAAAGTCCAATTGCCTTTTGGAAAAGCATCTTTGGGACAATCTTTGGGAAACTGAAGATCTCCATAGATATAATATGGTTTCCTTGTCTTTGCCTTGTTCTATATACAAACCAAGGCTTATGGTTTATAAAACTGGCCTAACACTGTACCAACCTTAGCCACTATGGCTTATTCTACATACTACACACACTGACACACTCACGTGTTACAGTGAAAATGTGTTCTTTCCCCACCTTGGAACAATATACAAGTATTTCAATTAAGAGAGTTTGACCTATATTGAACAGTAATATACTTACTAAAGTAAACTGACACCTTTCATTTCTGCTTATATAAGCACTCAAGTTGGCTAGCAAGAGTAGTGCAATAAAGCTTACTTTTTGAGACCACAAGACAGAATACATATACACTGTGTATACCCAACCTCTTAACCAACCTGAATAAAATCTAGCAGATGAATTTCAGCAGCAGGTACTAGGTTGATATGTGTTAACTTTGATTAAGCTTTGGGGCAATTGTTTTCCATTTTGTGGCAAGATATTGTGTGATCCAGCCTGTTAGGCTAATTTATGGCTCAGCTGTGCAAATCCAGAAAATCATTTAATTAAGTAACCAAGTAAAATATGTTTCAGGAATGTAGCCATATCGAACAAGCTCTCTCCTCAATTTGCCTGCTTTGAAGACAAGGAATTCCCAATCCTAGTCTTTTCCCCTTCCACATAAATCTGCTTACTTAGCATGGCCAATAGTTAGGATGGATTTATAGTCCATCCCAGCCAAAGGCCACCAGCAAGAGGTAATTAGACAGAAGGCAGAGGTCTCCTAAAGGACTAGTATTGCTAGTAAGCTTTATTGGCAGATTGCCTGGATGTACCCAACCTGCTAATAATTTAGTTGTGTTGAAGTTTTGAAAAGATGCCACTGGTGAGGTTTGAAAGAGTGAAAGGCGTTTGAGAAAACTCAATATAAAACCTACTAAACCAGAGGTCTTCAAACTTGGCCCTTTTATGACTTGTGGACTTCAACTTCCAGAATTCCTCAGCCAGCGTGCCTAGCTGAGGAATTCTGGGAGTTGAAGCCCACAAGTCATAAAGTCATAAAAGAGCCAAGTTTGAAGACCCCTGTACTAAACCTACTGTGGATTGGCTACTCTGTAAGAAGCGAGTAAACCACAAAAAGCAGTATGAAACAAAGCATCTATTAGCCGTTGACTAATTTCTTAAATCCTTATATATTCCAGGAAAAATTGTTGTGCTATGTACCACATAATCTCTACTCCCACTGTACATTTATAAATAGGAAGCATCCCTCATGAATAGGTGGGCATGTCCTTTTCTTTGCCATACAATTATCCCAGCATGTCAATGAAGAACTAATGTAATTTTCTATCCTAGAGGAAGTCATTCTGCCTCTGAAGGTTAGGTGTAACCTCATTTTAACAGTACTATAGGTAGTCCCTGCTTAATGACTATAATTGAGACCAGAGCAAAAGGGTCATTAAGCAAGATGCCATGGGACCATTTCCCTTAATAACCACACTCAGCATTCCTAGTTGTGCTTGTAAAACAATCTGGTGGATTATTAAGTGGGAATCCCAAGTAAGGAATGTGGCTACCTCGGGATTGGAGGAGCCCCAGCACAGGCCATACCCGAGTGTCTCTCAGGAGCTGAAAATCCTCTCTGCCAAAATCCAAGCAGGGTTTTCAGCCCCTGAGAAAGAGACGCCTGCATTTGCCCTGTGCTGGGTCTTTATCACCCCCACACAACTTGCTGTACTTTATTATGCTGCCACTCCGCTCAGAAGCTGAAAATCCTCCTTGCTGAAATCCAAGCAGGATTTTCAGTCCCTAAGCAGGGAGACATCACATAGGTGTGCCCTGGGCTTCCCATGCCTTGAGGCACTCTGTACTCTTACCTTACCTTATTTACTCTTACCTTACTCTTTCCTTACCACATTGCCTCTCTGCTCTGTGGATTGCAAATCTTCTGTGGCTGAAAATCTTGCTTGGATTTTGGGACATACCTTTTCAGTTAGAGCAGTGGTTCTCAACCTTTCTAATGCCGCGACCCCATAATACAGTTCCCCGTGTTGTGGTGACCCCCAACCACTTATACATCACCGGGTACCAGGGGCATGGCCAAAGAAAAGGGGGGGAAAATGGCTGACAGCCTTGTTTGGTGACCCCCCGTGAAATGGTCGTTCGACCCCAAATGGGGTCCTGACCCACAGGTTGAGAACCACTGAGTTAGAGGGAGGAAGTCCTCTCAGCTGTTGCATTGGCTGGCAATCTTCCATGACAGCTTCCCCATTGGCTTTCTGGGGAAGCTGACAGGAAAGATTGCAAATGGCAATCACATGATGACAGGGCACTTGGCAATCAGCCACAAATGTGAATGGGTTGTCAGATGCCCAGATTCCAATCACATGACTATGGGGTGCTGCAATGGCCATAACTTTGAGCATGGGTTGGAAATTACTTTGTTCAGCACCTTCATAATTTTGGCTGTTGAATGATCATTAAATGATGACTACCTGGAGCACTGACTTTAAGACGGCCTTTGGGCTGCAGACTTCATGCTAAAATATTTTTTTCCCTTGTAGTGTTTCATCCTATTTTTAACACCTTACCTAAAGAAAAATTCAGCAAATTCACATGGCCTTTTGTGATGTCCTAAAAAATTATTAACTACAGTAAAAAGATTTCTCATTATTTGTGCAGAATTTTAAGTTCAAAAGATTTATAATTTAAGACTGTAAATAAAGCAGGCTGTAATTACATGTAGACACATGAAATGAAAAATTTTTCTAGTACTTTTCAGTTGTATTTAGTATATTCTTGTTGAACCTAGGCAGCTTACACGCTATTATGCTCTTTTGAATTGATTTAATAATGTATTGGCCTGATATGGATTAAAGAGGATTTAAATTAACAATCTAATGTTACTTGACTCCTATAATGGGAATTACAGTCTGAACTAGTTGTTTTAGTTAGTCTCTTTCACTGAACAATCATTTTTTTAATGTTTTAGAAATCAGCTTTAAATAAAACTTAGACATTCTCCAACACTTAACCATACTCTTCTATATGCCTCAAAGATTGACATTTTTGATGATGTAGTAGCTGAAATTTGTTCTTTGTACCCATATATTGCAATACTTATTTGAGATACAAATACAAAAGACTGAGCAGTTGTGCAGAATGACTGTCACATGTTGCAACTGAGAGTGTCACACCCTTTTACAAAAAGTTGCAATTTGTGGAGAACTCATACATTTGGCTCATGAGAACATTCAATACTGCTAATAAAATGCCACTTTGTAAGTCCTATGCTATAGCTACAGTCCTTCTATATATATATATATATATATATATATATATATATATATATATATACACACACACACACACACACACACACACACACACACACACACACACACACACACTTGTTATTCACATGAATTAAAGCAATAGATAAACTCTTAAATATTGTTATGTGGCAACTGCTAGCATTCTAATTCCCTTGAAACTGAGCTATGAGTAGAAGGGGCCTAGCTAGATCATGGGGAAGCAATATCTCACTATTTGCTTGCAAAATATGATAAATGATTTTGCAAACAATTTGGAAACAATACCAAATTTTCCAGAGCAATACCATAATTTCCAAACACATCTTTAACCAAGGATTTTCACAGATGTAAAAAAATAAATAAATGGAAAATAGTGCCATTTTTATATTTCTCAAAAGTTTATTTCCTGCCTTTTGGATACATTACTTAATAGTTTTATTAAATAATTTTTTAAACTTCAAAAATTAAACCTCAATTGAGAAAATGAATTGTAAAAGGCTACAAAATGTTTGTTGCATGCTGGCTGGGGAATTCTGGGAGTTGCAATTCCTCACATTTTAAAATTGTCAAGACTGAGAAACACTGGTTTAGCCACTCCACTTATATGAAGTGATCCATAGTTCACAAAAGCACATGCCTTTTATAAAATACAGTATTCTAAAAAAACTACCAACTCTAATATCTAGCTGTAATCCCTTCATGTCATTCAGATGTAGGCCCCAAACAATTTAGTTACATCCAGTTTCAGAGGCAAGGTTAGAGTCTAGAGCAGCGATTCTCAACCTGTGAGTCGCGACCCTTTTGGGGGTCGCATGAGCCTTTCACAGGGGTCGCCTAAGACAATCGAAAAACATGTATTTCCG